GCAAGAGCGTGGTTATTATCATACTGAATGCACCATCAGTTAAACTAACAGCCTGAATTCCGACATTTATCTCCAATATCATAGCGAGACTGTCAATTGCAAAGGGAGCACAATGGCAAATTACGGGTTATGTCTTGCTCCTTGGAGTCTGGATCTTTCCCCAGTGTAATTACGTGATGCTAATTCCGCTGCCCCCCCACCTACTGTGCGCTCTCACTGAAAGAAACACAGCAGCTCCCCCACTGTTTGGATAGCACACAGAGGTGTTAAATGAAACGTGAGTATTTACTCGGCCCTAAAACTGGAGGGTATTTTAGTGTCTCTTATTAAACTGCGAACGATGAGCAGCTTTTCTGTATTTTTAAAGCTCCTCTGAGGAGTTTTTATCTCTGAAAACATGGACTGAACTTGATAGAAAAGTGAGTGTTATTATACAGTGAGGCTGTCAAATAATTAACTTTTCACATCACGACTAATCACTGAATTTCAAAATTAAACACTGATATATACAGCGATAAAAGTAGCTTCTGTAATGTTGCATTTTTAAACAGATTTAATTAATCAATCTTTATTTGTAAAGCACTTTTCATACAAAACCATGGAGCAGAAAGTTCTTTACACAGCAGAGGAATAAAAGAAACAAAGAATACCCAAATCTACCCCAACCCCTCATTCCCGCCCCACGATCTGAGCACAACAGAAACATGGATTAAAATGCGTTAACTTGAAGAGAGCTCGATTTCATAGAAACAGGAATGTGCGCACTGAGAAAATTCAAGATAAGGAAACACTGGAGGTTTAGGTTAGAATCTAAAAACAAAGTAACAAGAAATAATAAATAACATGAAATAAAAACTAAATTAAAAGATACGAAAATAAGAGCACCAAAGTAGCTCAAAAAAAGACGATCCTGTCATTAAAACTAGAAAGAGATAAATGCTAAAAGTTAATGATTTGAAATATAGTTTAAAGCGAGACGCTTTGAGTTTAAAATCTTTAAGATTTTTAAGTCCATAGTAATAAAAGCAAAGCAGTTAAATCAGTTTTTTTTTTACACGTTTCTTGATTTATAAAATTGACTTTTTGATTTGTTTTCTAAATTGATGCGGCCCTGCTTCTCCACTTTGACCAGAAGCTTTTAAGTGCGATCACTGTTAAGAAAATATTGATGAGTCGCTGATGTCCAGAGATTCCTGATTAATGCAACAGCACTCGAGTTTTCCAGGATTATTCCAGTTTAGTTAATTTAGTTTCTTATATTTAGTTTCACCCGCTGGTTTGAGGGGGCTCACACACTCATAAATAGAGCTCTGCCAGCTTCTGTGATGCAAAAATACATAATTGTTCGACCTTAATTAAATCACAATTAACTCGTTTAAAGCTTCATTCTGTTACTTCCACAAATTTTGCCTTAAGGTTTGACGTGAGTTTTCCCCTCACCATAAAATCCCACTAAAGTCAGCAGCTGTTTCTGCAACCGACCGGCCCCTGAGTATGTAAACAGGTAGACATTGAGAGTCTCTTTTAGCATTAGCTTTACTCTGCAAATATGTACAAATACTTAATCCTGACCCCAGGAAGAACCCCCTTTTGAAGACAGGGATTAAACAGTGGAAGTAGTCGAATGTTGTGAGCAGCAGCTCAGCTCACAGCCCCCTGTGAAGTCCAGTATTTCCTCATATCAGGACTCTCTTATGCGTCTGATATCTTGGTTAAAACTGATACTGGTGCCCAGCCCTGTACATGAGCAGTGTTGATGTCTGCTGAACCTGGGCACAGTCTCTCCTCCCCTCTTCAGCTCTGGGGTAAGTGCCCGGGAGACGAGAGGCTCAGCTGCAGCTCACAGCCGTGTCTCCGGGGACGAGGTTGGATGCAGGTCAGGCCACCTTGAACTCCTCAGCTGGATTTATTGTGTCAGAGGAGGACAGGGTCAGGCCTGCGCTCCTCCCCTCCCCTCTTCCTCAACACGAGGACTTTGTTAGCGTTGGACACGGAGCAGACACTGGCAGCATAGACATCCCTGTCACGCTCTCTGAGGAGAACCCTGCCGGGGTCAGAGGTCATGTGTTAAGGGGGGAGGGAGGCGTCTCTGCAGCATGACCTGAATACTGATTGAATCTCTTGAGTGGGTGTCAGGGGACAGACGGTTCAGGACACTTATCAGAACCACCCCTGAAGAGGGAATATGGAGCAGCGACGGCGATGGAGGCACTCCGAGTTAGAGCACGCCGGACTCCTCTGCTTGACTGTGCGCCTCAGCGGGTGTGCGCTTTCACTTTCCCTGAAACAAGACACCGGACCACATGTTTTCCTTTAATAGACAGCTGAGCGGAGAAAGGGCAGGAGTGCGCTCTGTTTGCCAGATGATCAGTGGGATGTTGGCATTTGGAGGGAAGACAGAAGCGGCCTCTCGCTACAGTTCCTCGGCTGGATTTATTAGATGTTGCACAAAAATGCTCCACCGCGGTGGCCACTGACAATTCTATCAATCATCCAATTGGTTCGGTTGGAAGCGCCGGGTCATGTGACCACGAAGCATGAGGAAAACTCAATTCTCTGAGTCAGTGCTTATGTCAAACAACCGCCCCCTCACTGCCTTTGTTTACGGCGGCGTTTCAGCCAACCTGCAGAGGGAAATATGGAAAGAAGAATATCTGACAGTCCTCCAATCTCTCTTTAAAAGTATCAAACCTCTGAGCATCTTCGTTCACCATGTCCCTCCAGCTCTCAGACCCCATGGAGAGTAAATGCTGGTCCTGGTCTTGGCAGTAACCCTGAATACGTTACAGTCCCGGTTTTTTGTCTCATATCCAGGTCAGTGCGGTAATGGTGTCCTCCACAAAATTAACGGTAATAAAAAGTGACAGAGAAGAATTCGTAGCTTTCCTTTTCCAAATAACGGGCGCTCTCTGGCTAATATAGTTTTTCACTCTGGTTCTGTTTTAACAGGATAATGTAAACACTGTTCCCTGCGGCTGCCTGCAGGAGTTTTGTTTTCCTAGTTTGAACAAATCTTCTGTTTGGAGGAGGAAATGAAAGCCAGTGGTGGAGTTATAATTTCAACTGTCCTTTTAAATATCCATCAAATGGCGAAGTCTGAACCACCTCAGATATGTCAGTAGGGATGGGAATTGTTACGAAATATCAGTTCTGCTTATCGATACGATTCCTTATCAGCTCTTATTAAGTGAGAAATAAGATAATACAAATGGGTTTGTTCTCATTAACTCTTCAATATCGTCACTTGTAGACAGAAGATATGTCATATCCATGCACTAATAATTTGTTATGTGACCTACCCTTCGACCACAAACCTGCTCACAGCTCGGTGACATTTGTTTATCTTCACCTCGGTCATTTTACTCTTCCCTTCCTCGATGAAAGGGGCCACTAAAGGTGTGAGAGAGCTAACCACTGCAGCCTCTGAGCTAGCATGACTCTGGCAGTCATCATCATCTTAAAGTAATTTAAGGAGATGAAGAGTAGGGCCTGACCGATTTATCAGCGAGCCGATTAAATTGGCCAATTTTAGCCCGTTTGAGACTAATCGGTAATCGGCCAAAACTCGCCAATTGTCACCGATATTTTTAGAAATTAAATGCGGAGAATAAGATTCGGCTTCAGTGGTCCACCTCAACGGGAAATAAACCAGTTTGTCAAATACACAATAAGTCAACAAGTTTCAGTTCAACCCACTTCACCATGTTCCCCGCTGTGCTGGTCTCGGTCACGCCCAGTAAACGGTGAAGCACCATGGGATATGCAAGCTAAAGTTAGAGTTAGCCACCTGCTATTAGCCTTGCTAAACTGTTAGCCTTCCTGTAACAGTAGAATAAACACATTTTTTTTACCCCCCTAATAATCGACATCGGCCCCAAAAAATCCATATCGGTCGGGCCCTAATGAAGAGTATTTATACAGTGAAAGGGGGTTAACATGGCGCCAACATCTACACAACAGACACGACCTAGAGGAGGTAACCCTTACCTTGATGATGCAGAGACGTTAGCGCTGCTCCTGCTTTTGCCTGTACCAGTCTCGTCTTCGCTAACTCGCGTATAAAACACGTTACACTTCGAATGTTTCCGCATATCTGAAGTATTTCCCCCCTTCGATAAAATTTAAGCTTTGCAAGTGTTGCAAGTCGCCCCGGTATCTTTTCACATGAAATACAGACAAACTCTGGAGTGCCTTTGCCTCGACGCCATGCTGGAAAGTTCTGAACCAAAACACACTTCTCTTGTACAACGGATTAACCAATAAGAAGAATTGTCAAGGAGGCAGACAAGCAATTCTTAGGAATCGAATCACTGGGAACAGTTCTGAAAAAGAACCGGTTCTCGATTCTCGTCCCCACATCAGTGTGTTTCACTGTGATCAACACTTGTTGGTGCTGCCTGATGATATGATATTTAAGCTCCAGACAAAAGCCCTCACAGTGTCTAATGTTGATATATTTCCAGAGGACAACTGTAATTAGGAATAAAAAATTCATCCCTCTCCAGTATCTGTAATGACATGATGCCATTTAAAGGTCTCACATCTCCTCAAGTAAAGAAGGGAAAAAGGTCAGAAATAAGACTGAAACAGAGAACTCATTATCGCCCTCAGACCTGAAACTCCCCCCGTCGGGGGTGAGGGTGATATTTGGAGAGAGATTTTCCCCGAGTGAAGAAGCACCAAACTTTACAGGATCACTGTGTCCTTTCGCTAAACCCCAAAAGACACAAAGACATCTGGAGGTACGGATGTTTAATCCAGACTGACATTCAACAAATCCGCCAAATACGCGTATGTGTGAGATTATACAGGTCTTTGTGCTCTGGGCTTTTCTGGTTTATAATCTATTTCTGGATCTTTCCCTCCAGCTGTTTATTGATGTATGTTTTGATCTGGCGCCAAACAATTATCTGGAGACTTGATTGGTTGTTTTGTCTTGGATACAGTTTGGATTTAGTCATGGAGGTCCATTAAACTGATTGAATAACATCAGGATACGTGGTTCATTTAAGGTTGAGGAGAGAGAGGGAAGGAAAAGAAGAGCTTAAAGCGAAGGTATGAGGGAAAAGAGTTTCTGCCGAGCGGCTGACCAGGATATCTAAACGGTCTTTATAATTCCTAACATCCCAAGAAGCTCCTTCGCCAATTTTGGGATCAGAACAGGCACCCTGGAGTTATGATCTGGGATTAAGAGTGACTAAGTCTTCTCATAGCGGCCTAAGTTGATTACTTATGCTGCTACCAGGGTAGAATTAAAAGGATCTGGAGCTGTGCGTGATTGTGCAAAGTGAAACTTTTTGATTATCTCTCTCTCTCTTTCCTCTTTTTATACAAACCTAGCTTTAAGCTCTTCTAAGGACTTTTCCTGCTTTTGAATCAGACCAAAACTGTGATTTATGAAAGCAAATGAGACGATCGGTGACAAGATTGATTGTTGTCATAAAGTTGCTAATAACCAAAATCATGAATCTGTCAGGTTGATTAACTGTGTGCTAATGAAAAAGCCTTTTTTTTAACTTTAGCATTTTAGCCCTCTCCAAATAACCAAGGGTGAGATTTACAAGATGACAAAATGTAAAGAGGTACAAATGACTGCTCTGTCCACACAGGGGCGCCACAATCAACGCAAAAGAGAATAAATTATATTGATTTTAATCTTTCATTTTGTCAAGCCTGAACCACTTCATTTCAGCTACACATGTAAAGTCGGACACTGCTTGTGGGTGTCACTTTTTACACAGCTTTGTTGCCATAAGTACTTCCAAGGCTATCTGAGTCATCTTATGTTTGCTATCATTAAACAAAGGTCAATAAGATAGAACGAGCTTGTACTGGCCTCTGTTTACTAAAAAGTCATCAGTGGTGTTTTGATAATAAAAAACGATGTCGTGGTGAGGGGAAACCTTAAAAGAGTTTATAGGTGGGCGTTTCCTTCAACACTGTCCTGATTGGACGGCAGAGCCTGACATCATCATCTTCTGGTCAAGTCTTGTAAAGTTCTTGAAACAAGCTGCTCAGAGAACATAGAAAACACATCAGCTGATACTGCATTATACTTGGATTCCCAGGCTTTGTATGGACACCCATTATGGTAACGTTATACTAAGACATCAACATTATAGGTGGCCCTCGAAGTCTAAATGTATTTAAAGCAGCAGTGGAAAATACCCGCTCTTCATCACATCTTATTAGTTTTAAAGGAGGCTGACAGATTCAGAAGGCTTGTGGTATCATCTCCTTTCCCACCTTCTTGTATCCATTTACTAAATCAATAGCAGAGTCTTTCCACAGCTGTGAGGTTTGAAAAGTCAATACCGCCATAAACAGTTCTTCAGTTTTGGAGGCGAAGAGCCTGAGTGTGGAACAAGCCTCTTGTCCAGTGGCTCAGAGGGCAGGTGTTTACTCGAGTACGCCCTCAGTAGTGGCTCCAGTTTGTGGTTTGGATTGTGCAGGTGAAGGATGGTGTTTACGTTTGTCTGAAGTCCGGGCTGGACCAGATTGCTTTGGTCAGGGTTTCTCCATATCGTCACGCCAGAGTCTGAGAATAACAACCCCTCTACAGTGACTCATGTTTTTCTTTTTTCTGTGGAATTTAAACTATAATTAGATTTTTGGTGGCTCTGTTGAAGCGTATGCTCTCTGAATAGGAGGACCAATGATATTGACTTGTGGGGCTTGTAAAACAAAAAAAGTTTTAGAGGGTTTGTTCAGAACCAGAAACATTAAAGTGTTTCTGGGATGTGCATGTTTACTTGACTAGACGATCAAAGTCTTGTTACCCTTGTTAAGAAGCACCAAAATTGATTGTTTGAATCAATTAGTAATATTTATATGATATGTCAAAATAGTGGTCATGTTTTGTGTCTAAGTAGAAGCACAGACATTGCAACTAAAGATACAATGCTCTACCACCAGGATGTCAACTCGACTCGACTCTAACCTTTATTTATAAATCACTTAAAAACAACCACAGTCCAAACAAAGTGCTGTGCTGAAGTAGACAAAAACAACTCGGGCATCCAAACAATTAAAAACAATAGATAAAATAGCAGATAATAAACACTAACATAATTGTTTCATTCTTTAAAAAAACATTTAAAAACAAAAGAAACATCTATAAAAAAAAGTCTAATGCGTTCAATGAAAGTTAAGGATTAAAAATGTGTTTTTAGACGAGTTTTTAAAATGGACGGTGAGTCAGCTCGTCTAACGATCACGGAAGTGATATTTGACGCAGTATTTTTTTAATATAGGAAACATATATGAAGATGTAGGAAGGCTGTGTCTAAGTCAACTTGATGAATTATACTCAACAAAAGTGACGTGTAAACAGTATACTAGATTAAATTTACTGCTAAAATGTTCATTTGGTGGAAAAGCTAAATTTACAACAACTACAAACTCGATATCGTCATCATAAAACGGCTATTGAGCGATCTGCTCTGTCATTATCGGCTATAGCTAACACCAACGACCTATCTAACATAGACTTAGTCACCGTAATGTCACCTGTTTGTTTCCGAAGCTGGAAATACTGTTTTAGCAGCTGGCCCTCTAGTGGGCTGTCTAGGAACTGCAGTTTTTAGCACTTCTGCTCTGTTTCTTAAGACTGGAGGTTACTGTTTGATTCAACATCAGACTCTGTGATCGTATGTTGATTAAATGTTCTCAAGTAAATGTCTGTTATCTGCTTTAGACTAACTGGTTTGTCAAATTTTATCATCCCAGTTAGACACTCTAATTTTGTCCTGTTACTATTATCGATGCGATGGAGGATTTTAAGGCTGGAATGAAAATTGGTGATTTCCACGAATGATATAAATGATAAAAAGCATTAAAATGTCACTGTTCTGCATAATTTCTCACTCTTCACTATCATGGCATCATCATTGAATCCACCTATGTTTAATGACGCTCTGAGTGCTGCATGGAGCACATGTATCCATGCAGCACTCACAGCATCATTAATCTAAGCGGACAGACATTAAATGCAAAGTTTTCTGCGTTATATGATCTGTGAAATGAGTTTTCATCGTAGTGTGCTTTGGAAGAAAAAACATAAATCCAAGTCGTAGGATCGGAAACTATTAACCTGTCGTTTGCCTGACTGATCCGCTGTGTTTCGGGTTCGACTGTCCCTCCTCGTGTGAAACTATCCTACGTCACCGTCTGAACCTCAGCTCGCTTTAAGATCCATGCACTCAGCTAAATAAATCAAGAGGCATTTAGGGGCAATTTGTGGTCTGGGAACTTTAATGCTGTTAGAGATAGTCTCGGATCTTTGTCGAAACCTGCGTCGCTATTTTGTTTTCCACCAGGCCTTATCTGTCTTTCTGATGTTCTGTGTTTTCCCAGGCAGCGCTCTAAGTTCAGAGCCAATCTGTTAGAGGTCCTGTAAATGGGGAGCAGAGACCGGCATTTCACTGTAAACCTCAGAAACAAAAGGATAATGGCCTTACGTCCAGTGGAATCACACTACTCAGGCAGGCTGTTATTGATATAAAACACAGCGGCTGTGCTGTCCGTCCAGGGGGGCTGTGGGTCTTTTGTCAAAACAAAGATACTGGAGAGCGTGAGGGGGAGGAAAGCTTCGCCTTAACCTTAACTGAACCAGCATCAGCATGTGGCTGCCAGCTGGTGTGCTCACGCGCTAATCCAGAGGATGCTGCCTCTGCAAGTCTTACTGGACTCCTGATATGAGCCCGGCTGGAGGTCAAAACCACCATCATCACCATTTGTTTGAATTAATCTACGAGGGGGTCGAGATCCCACGAGGTCATTACGTTTCATAGCATCCCCCCGAAAAGTTTATGAGGTGATTACGGCGGGGGTTTTTAGGTACAGGTGCAGACAGGAAGTTGCCAACTCAAAGATTTTCCAGAAGGATGGTCGGGTTAATGAGTTTCTAAAATGACAAATAGTAGGAATACTTATTGGGATGTCTTTCACAATCACAGTTTGGCCCAGAAGTCCCCCTGAGAATATGCATGAGATTGCTTTTTTATGCTTAATGTTCAATTGAAAACTAATCAGCAGTGACTATATGGAGCAGGAAATTAAATACATCGGTGTACGTGCAGAAGTCAGCTTCTTCAAGAGCCAAGAAAATTGCTAATCAAACCCAGCGAGGGTTTTTCATTTCTGCAGAAATTCACTTTTCAGTTTGCAGATGAATTTGTAATATTATTTAAACTTGCTGTAGGTTTGTGCTCTGGCAAGGTGAAGAAGAAGAAGAAGAAGAAGAAGGAGACATCGTTTTTTATTTTATTTTCCTGGGAGCAGATTGCCAGAGCAGATTGCGCGCTGAGATGCCATCATCAGATTTGGGTTTGAGCTCTGGGATTTGTCAAAAGATTTTGTTCGCTTATATCAAAGCAACCTGCTGTCATGCAAACATCACCAACTGATGGATCTTCAAAGCAACTTTCTTCATCTTTTAATGGCGCATTTTTGCATATTTCTGCTGATGAAAGTGAACGTAAATGCAGCATTAATAGTTTGTTATTGTTATTCCTGGTTCTGGACTGGGAGCAGCCTTTGAAGGGAGATACGACATGATTGCTCTGATTGCTCCGTGGCTGCTCTGCATTATGTCACAGGCAGACAGAGATGTAATAGTGATCTCTTATTTCCCTTCGCAGATACCCTGACAGCTGCTGTCTTATCCACCCTGCATCAACCTGCGGATCTTCATCTGAAAGATAAGGTACAGTAGAAATAATAAAAGCTCCCTCCTCTTCCAAAGTGGCTCCTCTATAATTAAAAGTTAGAGAAGTTTTGATTTTAGGAGGCTCGGGGTCTCTGCTCAGTGATCTTTCAGGACTACATTCACCGAGGAGACTTCATTAATGAAAGCTTAGAGGAAATACTGCAACCAAAGCAGCTTTTTAAATTCTCAATTTCTTATCTGCTGCTTTTAATCAAATTTAGGAAATGGGTTTTAAATATTTGGCACACCTTTATGAACTATTATCTCCTCAGACAAGGACAAGCAGAGATCAGGGTCTGCAAAGCGGAGCAGAGCTTTGTCATAGGGCTGCACGATATATCGTTTGAGCATCGTCATCGCGATGTACGTGTACTCTGCATGTGCTGTGCAGCGATCCACCAATCACATTCATTCTTTACTCAGATGTCAATCAGACTACCCTGCCAGTTGTCAATCAAAATCAGAGAGGAGGAAACCACGCCCCTGCACATTGAGTGAGTCTCTGGCGCTGCCGGTATTGTGCCGAGAAATGCAAACCCGCTGAGAATTACTTTGGGAACATTCCTCATCACTGTTTAGCCCAACAAATAAGAACTGTATGGGTTTTAAATCATACATTTCGTGGACCACTCTACTATAAGCGGTGCGCGTTTTGCGAGGTGTGTGCAATTCTCGGCACAACACTGGTAACAACAACAAGGATTGTAAAATGAGCAACGAACAGAGAAAACCACCGAAAATGAAGAATTTGTTGGTAAAAAGAAAAAGAAAGTCAGTTATCTGGAATAATTTCGGTTACAAGAAGGATGATGTCGACTAAAACGTGTTCTGTGTTCATCTGTTTCCAGAATAACATCCCAGAACAATAAAAGTTAAAAGATCTCTGAGACAGACAGAAGCCATCTTACTTACATTTACAAAAAGAGGTTAGATCAGAGCAGGTTAATTATCCACAAGATTTTAGCAGTGCAACATAACATAAAGTGATATTCAGGTCATCCAGTAAAAATTCCTGTGTTTTTTAATATCATAATCTATATCGCAGGGTTGAAAAAAACGTAATGTTATTTTTTTCTGATATCGTGCAGCCTTACTGTGTTGTGTTTGGAGACTGTAGTGAGGACTTATTTTGGTGTTTCTACACTGACAGTTGTGTAATCGTGTCTCTTTTGTGAGTTTGGAGTTGGCAAGGCTCTGTTTACTGCATCTGATGAATCAGCTGTCAATCATAATAGTTTGAGGTCCAGGTTGCTTAGTTACCGTCAGTCATATTGCATGAAATGTGAAGAAGCCAATCGGTTAAACGGATGATACTTGAAGAGTTTGATTGTTGTCATGGTAGCACTAAATACAAACTAGATGACACCAAAGGGGCAGCTCAGCCGGCAGCCCCTCCTGACGTCCTAAATCCACTAAGAAGACTCAGAAAGACTCGAGTCTGCATTCGAGAGGCGCCCCAGACTGTGTTTTTACTGGTCTTATTCACTGGAGGTGTAATTTGGCTCCTTTTAAACCTTGTAAACAAACACTGTGAGAGCGACCGAGCTTCAAAACAAGCCAAGTGCTGACTAACCAGATTAAAGCGGCGTCAGAGGAACAGCAGCTCTGATGGAGGTGGTCAGTCTGAGTGTTTTAGTGGTTAGAAGATATAAGTCTATCCTCTGATATCTTCTTCTTCTTTGCTGGTTTGTTTTTCTGCAGCCGAACAAATCAAGTGGTTTGATTTAGTTCCATAATGAAGCTTAACTGCATGTTTTCGTAAACACACGCCATCTTAAGGTTTTCCAGTCAGGTCAGCTCTGGTTTTGGAGGTTTGCAGGTACAGGAACAGAAACCTGCACAGTCAGTGAGGAGTGGTTTTCTTACACCGAGCCTACATGTGGACAGTAGAGGACGGGGCTGAGGAGCGCCGTTGACAGGACGCCTCATGGGACGGCTGGAGACAGATGGCTGGGCAGATGCGGGCCTGCTGTGTCCATGAAGGCGTCTGAAGGTCAAAGCTGAAAACTGTCTGAAAAGTAGAAAATAGAGCCGCTCTGTATTCAGAGTTTCTGTCCTGTTATTTGAGTTTGTGAGGAACTCGTACAGTTAATCGTCTTTGAACTTCATCAGGGAAGTTCACCTTCTCTGTCGTGTTGTAATTTGTTTTATTTCATACTCTTGAAATCGAGCTGAACCATGACTTATAAACAATACTTTTTAATAATCATAAATTGTTCCAGTCTCGTCTCTCTTTCTGCGGTTATGAGGATTTGTCATCGAAGAGAGTTTGAATAATTCAGGTGTCGCTCTGAAAAACTTATTCCAATCATGACGGACTTATCTGGATCGTGTTGTTTTTTATCTGTGAAGCATTTATCATTTCCGAGCTTTATCAGCAAATCAATTGTAGCAAAGTTAGAAAGTGTCATGAATGACAATTTTACTGTTTTATTTGACAAACAGCCCGTTCATAAAAACAGTAAATACATCACGGTTTTTCTTTTCAGTGAAAAAGGAAGAATCTTGTCTTGGATTAACTTTGTGGACTATTTAAAATAAATGAGTTCTTCATGCTGACAGGTTAGTCTTTGTACTGCTCTATGTCGAAGTTGTTATGATACATGCAGCATTCACGGTTGGTAATATATATTCAGTGTTATGGAGACTCAGGTTTGAAGTACAGTTATCGATGTGAAGCTGGAGCCTGTTTCTCTGACCTTTGACCTCTGTATCTGCCTCAGTGACTGGCTATTACTCTGTTTTTATCCATTTGATATCAGTGTGAATTCTTCTGTAACCGAGACGTGAGGGCGCGAAATATTTACCTCAGTTATAATTAGGGATGTCCTGAGACACTGATATCTGATATCGGTCAGATAACAACATCGGACTGATATTCGATACCGATAAAGGTTAGATATCAATATCAGATTGTATCCGATATTAACATCTGATGTGGGTCTAATATCAGCATAAAGACACATTTTTGATTATAACGGTCTGCATCTAAAATCTCTGATATCAGCCCTCTGATACAAGCAGTCCATTCCAGACTCCGCTCCAGCACTTCTATCTAGCCGAGCATGTAGAGCCCATGTTATCATGACTACTAAGTACTAAGGTACTAACAAAGTAGTTAGGAATAGGATTGTTGTCGGCCCTGTGGCAGTATTTTTTGTTAAAGTCCAGTCAGCAGTAGCTCAGGAGGTAGAGCGGTCGTCCAATAACCGGAAGGTTGGCGGTTCGATTCCCCCCTAATCCAAGTCTGTCCGTTGTGTCCTTGGGCAAGACACTTAACCCACCTTGCTCCCAGTGTGTGTCCTCCACTGGTGTATGATTGTGAGTGTTGTGTGGTGGTGGTCGGAGAGGCCGTAGGCGCAGAATGGCAGCCACGTTTCCACCACCACCAAAGTGTGATTCTGTGAGCGAATGAATGATGTATCCAATGTAAAGCGCTTTGAGGGTCTCTGATAAAGCGCTATATGAAATCTGATGCATTATTATTATTATTAAAAAAGATTTTGTGCCAATATCAGTATCAATATCGGTATTGGCCAATACTGAAGGAGGTAAAACAGTTACTATTTATGACTTTTCTGCGTCTTTGTCAGCTTTGGTGTCACTTTTTTCCGCTGTAACGAACTCGTTTAGATCCGGCGCTGCCACCACATCACTGAAACTGAAGTTAAAAATGACAAAACCGTGAAATGGCGCCATCATGCTCTAGATGTGGATGTTTTTTATTCAGGATAGAAACTGAGAAAATCTTAGAAATTGTTGTTTTAGTCTCTTTCACTGCTTCGTCTTTCTCTCTCTACTTTATGTAAATTATCGACCGCTGCACCTTCACTGTCTCTCTGTTCCTCCTCTGGTTTGGGATATGAGTGAACATCTGTTTCGGCCTGTTAAACGTTGGCGCTTTTTGATTCTATCAAGAGTAAAAATAACAGAGTTTGGATTTTCATAAAAAGCGTTAACATATCAAAGGTTTCAGACTTGCAGTGAGAGGTGGTTTTCTGTGATTTGGAGGTGCTCTTGCGGTTGTTTTTTGCTGTGAAGTTTCTGAATTTTAACATTAAAAAAGTTGTAATTTCTCCGTCGGCGCGGCTGCTGATTGATTGACAGCTTTCCCAGCTTTGGTTGTCACGTTCAAATGGAGATAAACGATGTGAACATGCAGTCGGTCTCAGGAGTGGAGTTGTCAGACCTGATCTTTGGATCATTTTTAAAAAGTCTCGGAGGGACTTGTAGGCATGTCTCTGCAGGTTAGCTTCTTACAGTTAAGTTGTTTCTAATGATCCGCTTAAACGGCATTGACAGGTTTGATGTAAAGGTGTAAACTCCCCTCAGATAATAAGATGTCAGACCGGGATCTGTGGGCGACTGTTTCTTTAAGTCAGAGTGAAAGTTTTCACGCTCAGCGGCTGAGCAGTTGTGATCTTTTGTCGATACCAGAAAAGATTCGTCCCTGACTCAGCTGGAGCGGCAGACTGTGAAACAAACGCCACCAGCAGCCCGGCGATGTGCAGGCCTCTGGGGGCTTTGAGCACGGCGAAGGGAGCGCCATGATCAGAGCTGGGAACCGGATGCTGAGATGGAGGGGTGGAGGGTGTGAGAAAGAAGAGGAGACGGCGGGAGGGTGGAGGTGTCAGGCGTATAATTGGGGTGAGGAGATCTCTGGGGTGGATAGAGGGGAGCTTTATTAAGACAGCTCCAGTCTGATGTGCCCGCGCCGCCGCTGCCAGCCCTTCCTCGCACGCCCACGCCTTCGGGCCGATCTTCCATTTCCACCAGAGACTCTGTAACAACAAAGGGATGAAGGGCAAAGTCCTCGAGCTCCTCTCCTCCACAGATAAGACAAAAGAGCCTGTTATTTGAAAAGCACTGATGGGGAAGCAGCAGCAGCAGCGGCGGCGGCGGCGAGGTGGTGCTTTCTTTTCAAAATCAACGCCCATTGTTCCGTTTCGTACGCTGTTATCACTTATTGATAAGGCTGTTGTTCTGTCTCCTGAGATCCTGCAGACCGGCTCACTTGTTCTCCTCTATGATACTAACAATTTGTTCAGTGAGTTCAGGATTGATTGATAACGTCCCTGAATTTACTCTTTGTTGTGGAGGTGAAACAGCTTTAAAAAGCTAAGGCCACTTTTTTTTATGAAGTATCGGGAGGCTAAATTAGTTTTAGACGTCGTGCAGATGACGGCGGCCCTGAAAGTGTTTGTAAAAAAATCTACAACTATCTGGTGAGCAGTCTGCTACGTCGTCTTCATCCTCTATTTCGCCTGTTTTATATTCTGTTGAATATTGTCTACATAGGGCTGGACGATAGACCGGAAAAAGTTATTATTTCGACTGTCCTTTTAAATATCCATCACATGGCTAAGTTTAAACCACCTTGTAGTGTGTTTCACTGTGATCAACACTTGTTGGTGCTGCCTCATCATGATATTTAGGCTCCAGTAGGGCTAGATAATAAACTGAAAATTTACTGATACTGAAATTTCCGACAATAACCAACATCATTGCCCATATCGGTGTGTTCAGTGTCAAAAAAGTAAATTAAAAAAAGTTGTTTTTGGATGTGTGTAGGTAGGCTATGGTCTCACGTCCCTTTAAGACGCTGTCCTACGTCAGAGACGTGACTCCACCCCATCCAGTCTGTAACAAAGAGGGAAAGACAGGTGAGGAGATGGAGGACGGAGAGAAAGTTGGAGCGGCTGAAGTAGACGAAGTTAATGTGGGAGGGGGTGAGCAGCTGGTGGAGTAGTTATCGTCCATTTATTGTTATCAAGGTGAACTGATCAATATATCATGATATTGATTTGAGGCCATATCACCCAGCCCTACATCTACATGTAAACTGTTGGGGTGCACTGATTTAGGATTTGCTTGAGGTGATTCCTGCAGTTCTTAGAAACAATAAGTAACAAGTGAAACTGTGAAACATGGAAGCAAATATGCATGAAGCAAAAGCAGAAAATGCAAATGCACACGGAGGAAAACTAGTTTTGTAAAGAGTGCACATGTGTGTGGATCAGCCCTAGGGTTCCTACACAAGTATGGAAAGGATTGAAAAGTGTGGAAATAAATTTGATCAATTTCCAGGTTTTAAAAGTATGGAAAATTGAAAATTAAGTATGGAAAAATATTTATGTTTCCAGACTATTACCTTAATCTATCTAAAATAGAAAAGTAGGTATTTCCAAATATAACTCTAAAAAGGAGGGTTTGGAAAAGTATGGAAACTCCAACTGTATAGGAACCCTGAACACGCCTGTTTCTGCTCCTAAACAGATTAAACTTTTTTTTTTTTTTTAAGCAACATTTAAAATCATTTTTTAAACTAATATCTGCTCTTTTACAATTACGTCTCCAAAGCTGCCAGACCACATAAAGAAAAAAAGGTCATTTCACCTCACAGAAAGACAGAGCTGAGAGTGAAATCCTGCCAAGTTCGTTTCTTCTTCTTTGTTTTTGTTATTTTATCACTTTAGTGTCGACTGGACCGACTGCTTCAGCTGTTCACAGGTTAAAATCGCTCTCAGATCCAACAGAGTCTGGAGAAGTGAGCTCTGTTCTTGAAAACTGAAGCCTTTCTATACAAAGAAAGAACCGATTACTCCTTGGACTCCACATATTCAGAAATCTGTCTCCTGTTGAGGAGTAGTGGGATAAATCCTCCGAGAACAGACCCAAAACGGCTGTTTTTGTGTCCCCCTGACAAGCACATTATTCTTTGCATATTTCTCCTGTTTTTATTACGTCTTGGTGGAGAGCCAGGAATTCACAACTGTAGGATTTATGAAATATTTACAGCTCAGGGTGTGGGCAAATATTGGATAAAATTGGAATAATCTCTCTTGTTTTGGCTCACAAGGGAAAATAAAGTTTGCTGCATGACTTCCCCCCGTGACTGATCGTATCAAGTCTGACTGTGGGATTAGAGGCTTAACTGCTTATTTCCCTGCGCTGCGACTCCAAATGTGACTTTTTGGTCAATTTGAGTTCAATATCAATAATAAAGACCTGCGCGGATGTGTGCTTATTGACTCTGGCATCCTAAAAATGTCTGCCAGCTCACAAAAACACACAAAAACGCTGAAACAGGAGGGGTGAGGACGGGGGAGTTTCTCCCCCCCTCTGTTCTTAGTCCTCTGTTGTAAATTGCTTTCCGTGGCGCTCATAAAAAGGGGGGCCGGGGGTCTTTTCTCCACTTTCTTTGCTGCTTGTTAATCCCCCCACAGCTCCGGCCTCAGGGAGAGCTGCTCGCACATACTCGGCCCCTCGTGGAAATGGCGCCACTCCTCCTCCAGCCCTCTTCCGTCCTTCTTTCCACTCGCTCCTGCAGGGCTTGGCTAATCCTCTGCCTGGTCATGGCGGGGGAGATTGCAGGCTTTTTCAAAGCCCTTCTCTGGCTGGACTTCAAAGTTGCAGGGATACAGGGACTTGAGAAGGTGGCAAGAAATGAGGTTCACCGCGAGCGCAGTCTGTGAGGGCGACTGTACCTTCAGATTTTTCCATGTGCAGTTCCTGAGGTGAAACGTGTGGTGTCTGTCGACTGGAAACGCGGGGCCGCGCGTCTCTGGAGATCAGCTGGTGGTTGTGTTTGCAGAGCTTTTGGGAAATGCTGGGGGAGTCTGCTTTGTTTTGGTCCGTAAAAAGCTACACGGGAATAAACAGCAGACAATCTGCTTCTGCAAACAGTGAAAAACAAATGAAAAGGCCTCAAACACAAACAAGATGCATAATAAAAAGCCGAAGCATGACTCAGAGTCAAAAACACTGGAAGCCAAGTCATCCTCGGAGTATTCCTCCCGTCTGCAACGTTTAGACGCTGACAGGTCTGCAGCCAGCTCTTTCCTGTTTTTGCAAACTGCAGCTAAACTCCACGGCAGGTTACAGCGAGGTCACTAACCCGAGACGAGTCTGACAATTCCTCCGCTGTTACACAAGCTCATCCAATTCTGGAAACTTCTGTGGATCTGAACTCGTTTCTCCCTCGTCTTTTGTCTGAAATAAGCTTATCAGGGGAACATTATTCTGCAGGATTTCACAGGGTAACCGGTTACTAAAGGATTCTGGCTCTGTCATTAAAATGTCTTTGTCAGAGATTCAGCGGGGATATATCAATCCAGATTGACTCTTTTAGCCTCGGTGTCTGTCACGAGGTGGGAAAGTCTTCAGAAGCAGGTTTGATATTCAAGATTTGATCTCATTCTTGGCTGATAAAGAGACGTTTCTGACAGCATGGGAGGATAACGGGACACAGTTTCACTTTGTTGAATGGATGTCGAGATGGAAAGATGTTTCAATTAGCTTATTACTATAATGAAAACCAACCGTCTGTTAAATCAAAACATCAGAGATGTACAATGATCAAAAGACTGTGAGGCTTATGATACTTGGACAGATATTTGTTTTCTGATACCAATAATTAGTAGTGCATGAAATCAATAACTGATGTAGCATTTGGGGTAAATAAGATGATCTATGTCGAAATGAAGAATTTGGAATTTTTATCAACTCCAGCTCTAAATTTTTTACAAATTAGAAGTTGATCAATATTGTTTTTTTTAGGGCCAATACCAAGACTGATACCGGTACGACTAATCTGCTGTGACCAGCATCATCGCTGTTTGTTGGAAACTTGTCTTCAATGGAATCAAACCTGCACTCCCAAAAGTTTATTTGATAAATCGTATGATTACGACTTAATGAGAGGAGAAGCTGTTAAGAGGTGACACTACAGTATTCTCAGTGTGCATCACGGTGCAAAACTCGCTTCTTTAGATGACAGCTTCTATGTTTTCTATGTCTGGATGTTTTGTATTTGTATTTTGTATTTTGTTTATTTAGCACAGATTAAAAACAGTGCAAGGAGGGAACGAAGCCGATGGGCTTTTACAGAGTTCCACTCCCGTCAGGTCAGAGAAAACATAAGGTGCGGACAACTAAGTACACAGACTGAAACACAGACAAATCAGCAAACAGTGATAAAGAAAATAAAGTATTTATAAAAAGGAAAGAGATATGATCATAACAGATAATGATGTATTTAAGACATGATCAGATGAGATTTTAATGATGTTGTTACCGTAACTCCCTTAAAGTTTTTCTGATCAGAAAATTTTCAACTGTGTTAGAAAGCTGAGAGTTGTGGGAATGCGCACATATACGGTTTACTACGGTAGTTTAAACTGTATGATGTATCAGCAGAGCACTACACAGCTTCTTAATACCGTAAGTTGTGCTTGTATAAGGTTATATTGTTATGATTATTGTATTGTTATTTTGTTGTTGTAGTTTTTCTGTTTGACTTGAGAATGTTGTGAATGCACTTTCTCTGAGTCTGTATACAGTTACCTTTTGCACAGTTGTCTGCGCTCACATGTTCATGTTCACATTCAAGTATCAAATCAAAACTCCAAATTGACATTTGTAGCCTCAGCAGTAGGTCTAGAGTACCAGCGTACGGGTCGTATCAGTATATCAGACAGAGCTCAGTAAAAATAAAATCAGTGCTTCTTATAATCAAGTTTGAAATATTTATTTAGGGATATAAAAAAGTGACCTACTGCTTTTAGTCCCTTAAACAGAAAATTAAATTCCAGTCAAACTTCTCTAACGAAGCGAACTAGAGGTGATAGATCACTGAAAGGCTGCAGGGAAACGATGATCAATAGGTCGGTGAACTTCTACATGCCGGCGCTCTTGTCATGTATTTCTGAGTCTAACATTAAAGAGTCTACATGAGCCATGCCATCTGCTAACTGTGCTTGTTTACTGAGCATGATCACATTTATCTGAAGCTGCAGCTACAGTTTAGACACGAGTTATAACTAAAAAAGTGTGAATTACAAACTCAGAGGACCGAGTGCAACTTTGATAATGATTATTTGACCCGTTGAGTAAACCGTGCAGCCAACTAAATCCTGTTTTCTCACGCTGTTTAAAATCAGATCAGATCCTTGATTTTAAGTTCATATCTGCAGCATCAGCTCAGGATTTCAGAGCTTCATCTTTATATCTTTTATATTTTTACAGACAGTTTGAGCTAAAATCCAGGAGTCCCCTCGATTCAAGTGTTTACTACCATCAACCTTTTTTTGTTTTGTATGCAGCTGAGAGCTTTCTGCCCGTCGAGCCTCTCTATTTATATTTTGCCATTTAAGTGCAGCTAATCAAGAGTGGTAATTGCGTTAACCATCCGAAGGGTTCACTTACCGAAGGCCGTGATTACAAAGAAGTATGATTGCGCATTTCTTTGAGCCTTCGACCTTGCCATCTTCTCTTTTGTTCAGCGGACTCGTCTACGTCTGCGACACAGTAATTACCTCGAGTGGACTCCTGGGGTTCGGGATTATACATTATTCTCCTCCGCCATGTTCAGGAAGTGTGCGGTTCATGTAAGGTGACTCAAACAGACAGACGTGGATGCAAACACACACATTCAGTCATACGTGTGAGGTGTCAGTTTCAGGATTATTGAGTTTTATCTTTTTCTTCTCATCAGATGTGATCAGGAGCGCTCTGCCTGTTAAAAAAGGAGATGTTTGAGGTGGAATAAAACCTGCTGTTTGTTTGGAAAGTTAACTTTGTTAAAGTCGCACAACAGCAGCTGATGGTTACAAACCTGCCTGAGAGCACGACTCTCTCCTCACAGCTGTTTTTCTCCGCAGGAGTTTAACAACTGAAAGTATTCATAGAAGTCATAATCAGTTTTTACGATCAAATATTCAGTCCTTTCATTCAAGTGAACCAATTACAGACTCAAAGTGCCAAAGCTGATGTTTCTTTAATAGTTTTCTTTGTGCGGGATAAAAAAAGAGAAAATCAAAACTGTGAATGTCGACTTTCTTTTTTACAAATAGCACTTTTTCTCAGTTAACGAACACAAAAACATCTTTTTGATTCTCGCCCTCACATGCAACAAATACACCGATCCTCACGGCGGTGCAAATGCAAACAGGAAGTTCTCATGGTGTGTAGAACTTAGAGAACCTTTTAGTGGGTAGTTTCTCTTGTCACTATTTGTGTTGTGTATCGTGTAAATACTTGTGTATTATCTCTATATTCTTACTTATTTTATCTATTTTTATCTTTTATTTTATTGATTATGTATCTCCTCTTTTACTGTATGTGCACTGGAATACTGTGACAAAAGCAATTTCCCCCTGGGGATTATTAAAGTATTTCTGATTCTCTTTAAAAAGTTCACAGAACTTTTTCAACCGGACCTTTAGGGCTGGGCGATATGTCCTCAAATCAATATCACGATGTATTGATCAGTTCACCTCGATAATGATAAATGGACGATAACTACTCCACAAGCTGCTCACCCCCTCCCACATTAACTTCATCAACTTCAGCAGCTTCAACTTTTGAACCGTCCTCCATCTCCTCACCTGTCTTACGTCTTTGTCACTGACTGGATGGGGTGGAGTCACGTCTCCGACCATAGCCTTTCTACACACATCCAAAACCAACGTTTATTTATTTCTTTGACACCGAATAGACCCATATGGACCCAAAATGACATCGGGCATTGTCATAAATTTCATAATCTGTAAATTTCTGGTTTATGCTCAGCTCTAGCAGAAAGTTAAAGTCAACATCTCCAACATGGCGTCCTCCATCTTTGAGCCTCATAGCGCCTCTTCAGAAACCAGTGAGTGACGTCTTTGAAGCTGCATCCGTGTTTTTACTCTGGAGAAGTACATTTAATCGTCAGGTTGATCAATAACGCCGATATCTCAGGTTTTCTGCCCTTCACCGGATAATTGAGAGTTTTCCGTCCGGGCTGTCGGTGCTCTCGGCTCATCCTCTCACAGGGCGATGAAGACGCTGCTCTAAGCCGACTGTATTGACCATAAAAGCCGGTGGTTTATGGCGGCGGTTGATGCAGTTTGTGCTTATTGACCAGGAGCTGCCGCCTGTGGAGCTCTGTGATTTCCTCTAACTTTTATAAGAGCAGTTTTCCCCTCGTACGCCCCATCACAGAGAGAGAGAGAGAGAGAGAGAGAGAGAGAGGCTCGTTTTGCTGCGGAGGTAGTTTTCACACCCACCACCACACTTTCCTTCCCTCTGAAATGATTTGGTGGAGGTGGTTGATTTGGAGATGGATCATAATAGCTTCCAGTGAGCTTCCAAAAAAGATTTTATTGCTAATATCACGCTGTGTGTGCTTCGGAGCATGAGGCTGTTTATCTGAGA